TCCCGGCTGTTGGCCAGGGCTGTGTTTCTGATTCAGCCGCACCTATCTGGACAACCCAGCTCGAAAGCAAGGGGGGCTGACAAGATCCGTGTGCCTCAACAGGCTGTGAGTGTGTGAGTGACCCTAAGCCGAACCTGGGAGCAGTGTGTGTAACAGTGTGTGATTCAGTTTCTTCTTGATGACAGCTTCTCCTTTGTCATCCTCTTTGATCATGACGCCACTCATCTCTCTGAGGCTCCCATTCTGTGTGGCTGAGGTAAATGACAGGGCTGAGCAACAAGCCAGATTTGAAGGGGAAAAGGTGATTTGGAGTGGATGTTGGTATATCTCTGGGCACTTCCATTAAATCAGATACTGTATATCTTTTCCTGTGCCTAATATAAATTATGGAATTTGCTGAACATCTTGACCCAAATAACACAGTGGAAGTATGGTACATAAAACTTAACATGATGAATCCATATGAAGGGACCCCTTGCAAAATTTTTCTTCTATAAGAAGGCAGTTGTGCAAGAAGAGTTATCTCTTTTCTCCCTATGGAATGTGCTAATTTGGCCTGCACTGGCTGTAGACAAAGGCCTGAGAGAGTACACATGGAAGTCAAACAAAGCCAGAATCTTAGCTAGTGTTTATATACTATCGGGAAGCCCTTCAGACATGCCCTGGTCACCACATGATTGGATTATTGCAATGCATTCTACATGGGGCTGCCCTTGAAGACCACCCGGAAGCTATAGCTGGTTCAAAATGCCCGGGTGCCTTTTGGTGTGCCCATGTGTCACCACTGCACCACTGTGAGCTACATTGGCTGCTAGTTGGCTTCTGAGTGCAATTCAAGGTGTTGGTTATTACCTGTAGGGCAGAGGGCCTGGATACTGAGGGACCACCTGTCTCCAATCATGTCTGCCCATCCAGTACGTTCCAGCAGAATAGGTATGTTCCAGGTCCCCTCTGTTAAACGCTGTCATCTCGTGGAACCAAGGAAGAGAGCCTTCTCTGTTGCGGCCCCCATCCCCCTAGAGATAAGGACTGCACCCTCTCTCCGGGGGTTCCAGAAAGCTCTGAAAACCTGGCTTCGGTCACAGGCCTGAAGTTAATTTATTATTGTTTGTCTAGGGCCCTTGTCTTGTTTTTTTCATTTGTTTTTTTGTCTATGAGATTATTCAGTCTGGGCTGTCTGATTTAATATTTTATGTTTTTTATGTTTTTTTGTAGTTTCGTATGCCGCCCATAATAACCAGCCTAGATGGTTACTAACCCAGTTTTAATTCCATATTGTTGGATCTAGCAGTGCCCAGACATGGTAACTAAGCTAAGAGTCACTATTTTAAGGAATTCAAAATCCCTACCTACTTACTCCAGTCCTGCCTCTGTCAGAATGATATGTAACATCCACCTTCCCTTAGCCTCTCAGGAGAGATGTTACGCTATGTCATGCCCCTGTGTAAGATGGTTTTACATGACTTCCACTCCTCTTGTGGCGGGGGGGTGGGGGAGAAATTTCTCTATTTTTACAGTGTATATCCTGCCCAATGTCCTATGAGCCATTTCACCAGGATAGTATGGGCTTGGTTTGTAATGTCACTGTCCCCTTCCCCATTAGCCAGATGGACAGCTAGATGCTGAATTTATTCAACTGTACCCTATGAGGTAGGTGAGAGGAGTTTTTCTGCTGCCACTGGGGTAAATAACATTTAAGTTTGAAAGTCCAGAAAGGAAGAAGAGACAGAGCAGTTAAGGACTGTAATTCAGAAACTATAAAAAGCAAATTATTGCTCTTAGTAATTGTGTAACTGAACTGCTCTCAACCTTATTTAAACAATATGAATCTTTTGCAAGCCAAGCACTGAGGGAGGGGTATGTATAAAGAAATGTATAGAAGAAAGCAAAACCTATCCAAAACACAAAGTACATCACAATCTGGAAAATTGGTCACAGGATCCAAAAATGCTCCAGTGTGGTCATGAGTAAAGTTGAGGAATCTATAAAGAACAAAAAGGCTTGAAATCTTTGCCAAGTCTTTTTATGAAGTCTGCAGGAATGAACTTTTTCTTGAAATATACTATCTTCTAGATATTGCTGGTTTAATTTATAGAGAAAGTGTAAAATCTACCTTTTAACTTGAACGTTTAAATTATTTTAAGCATTTTACCCTCGTTTTAATATTTTAATACATTTTATTATTAGATTGTTTTTTTCCCCACTGCCTTGGTAGATTCTTGGAAAAATTATACAAATCATAGATATTCCGAGGCAACACTTTGTGTTGCTCAGGTACAGAAGGAGGAGGCTGCTATTGCTTCCATTTCTTGTTGCAAGCTTCACATATGGTCAACAACTGTGTAGAATTAGGAGTTTTGTTTGATCCGGTGCAACTCATCTTACGCTCTTGTGAACTTCAGTCCTGATTCACAGTATTCATATTCCTTATGTGATGCCGCAGTTTCCCTTTGAGGAAAAGAGAGAAGCAAAGCAGGAACACAGCAGTTCTTGTTTCTCCTTGTCATCTGATAACATTGCAACACTCCTATTGCATAGCAAGTATGATGTTTTCTTCCTCTTTCTTTGAGCATAAGGCAAAATCAGTTGCTAAAGGCTGTTGACCTCATGTTCTTTGTGTGTCCTTTGTAAAGGCACCTAATTGGCTCTTATTTGTCTGTGTTGTACTTTTAGTCATGTATCTATTGAGCAGCAATTGTATTTTGCTATGCTACAAATATCATGTAATATTTGTATCCACTGTAACTCTTGCCTAATTCATTACATGGGTAAGTTGTGGTCTGTTTTTGGCTAGGGCTATCAGGTCAGATCTGCAAAACTTTAGATGGCAACAGAAAGTTAGGATGCTTAGCTGCCATTTATTGATCATACAGATTTTTGCAGCTCTGGTCTTGAACCTCCACTTTGGCTTCCCAAAATTTTCTCTTCCTACTCCAAATGTGTTTTCACACTCTGTCTGATTTGATTCCTGAACAGTTCACAGCCATGCTACTTCAACATTCAGTAGGGAGCTATACTGTAATGTTAAGCAATGGGGGCGGGGGGGAGGAGCCCTGATATTTGAAAGGTTAAAACATTTCTTAAAGCATTAAAGGCTAAATTTCTTATGACCAAACTAACTTTATGCTAACTGTAAGATGGCTGGCATCTTCAGAAGTGTTCTGATTATAATAATCTACTCTCTAAGATGGTAGGAGTATTTTATGAATGTGTAAGTCCACTTAACCATTCTGGATAAGTAAAATAAATTTCAATTTGTTTTGCTGAATGAATATCATTAGGGAACATTACTAATAAATAATACACTCTTTAAGGTCAGAAAAGTCCTCTACGTGGGTGCATTAACATAGTATCCTCTAGTGCTTGACTCAGCCAAATAGTCTACTGTCATAAATTGTCCTGCCCTGTTGGCCACAGAAATCCCTTGATAGAAAGCCTAAAATGCATTTATAGGAGACAGTGCCAGTAACACATATGCATTTTAGGCTTTACTTAACTTATCCAGAAAGGTTGAGTGGACTTACACATTCATAAAATACTCCTACCATCTTAGACTATGGAACAAAATTTTCTTTTAAAGAGAAAAGATTCAGCTAACATTTTGGAAGAAACAAAGAAAGTGAATTAAAATAAGCTCCCTTAACTAAAATGGAGTAACCAGCAAACACGCCATGTGAATATGCAATATAGCCCTCTTGGAAAAGAAATAAAGTTACAAAAACCAATGTGTGTCCCAAACTTCCCTCAAGTCTTTTCTCTAATATATAAAATGGGGGTAGATGGATGGGTGGGAAAAGCTACAAAAGCATTTCAGTGTACAGTGAAGCAGAGAGAGAGAAAATGTTCCAAATGAGAGTGGTTGGAAGAATAAAAAGGTAGGTGCATTAGTTCTTAGTAGTCACGGCCTCTGTGCCACCTATCATGCACTCTCCAAAACTCTTCTCCTGCCTGCTTCAACCAGTTTGGGGAAGTACTGTAAACCATCTAAAAACCAATGAATTAATTTGGAGTCTTATCAAGTATTGTTTGTTTTCTTTTTAAAAACAGAAGAGAGGAGAGGAGTTTATAGGCATCTTTTGTAAGAGAAATTACGTTTCCTTGATTTTTCATCTTCCAGGAGACTGAAAGTTTGATATTCCTTTAGTTGGGCCTTTTAAAAAGTTACGGGATTGCTGCACATCGGAAAGAAAGCAGTCAAGGGATGAGAGATCAACAGACCTGCGACAAAAAAACAACCAAGGAGCATAGGACAGTTGGGTCTATAAAAGATCACACCAGAGCCCAGATTGATGAAAGCAGCTTCACGCTGCAAGCCTGTCCCTTTTCTATGTGCATGTGAGATCCCATGGATGGCATTACCATGGAATGAAGGGGAGAGAACACCTGATGTCCCCCAACTGCCCCACCATATGTCCAGGAGAATGGTTTTGGGGTGGTCTCAGAACAGCAATTGATGGGGAAAGGATGGTAGGGGTCCCACCAATCACTGCTCTGAAACCACCCCATAATAAATTATGTGACCACAGTAAGCAGGAAATAACATGGGGGGGCGGGCAAGAGAAGAAATGGAGAGCCAGTTTGGTCAAGTGGTGAAGGCACCAGGCTAGAAAGCAGAAGATGGTGAGTTCTAGTCCTGCTTTAAGCATGAAAGCCAGCTGGGTGACTTTGGGCCAGTCACTGTCTCTCAGCCCAACTCACCTCACAGGGTTGATGTGGGGAAAATAAGAGGAGGGAGTATTAAATATGTTCGCCATCTTGAATTATTTATAAAAATAACAAAGGCAAAATAAAAGAGCCTAAAAAAATGTACATTTCAATATCACCAGTGCAAGCTCTCCCCTTTATGTATTTGGGCGTAACATTGTGACGTAAATATGAAATGGCAAACCTTGCATTCTAATGTCACACTGTACATTTAAACATTTTGACACAATTGGGGCTATCATGCTGACCTATCTGCTGAGGTGTAGTAAAGGGAGGCTGTTTATTTGTTTTTATTGGATTTCTTAATGCCACCCAACTCCAAAAAGCCTCTGGGTGGCTTACTGTAGATTAACCCATTAAACCACATAATGTGGCTTGAGTTCCAAATCCGAGGACTGGGTAGGAGCAATATCTCCAAAATTTAAAAAAAAACAAAACGATTTTTAAACATGATTTCTAACTACTACAGTAAAGAGAAAAAAGTAACATTTTTCTTGCATATCATCCAACAATCCTGGATGAAAATCACTAGAAAATACGAAAACACACTGTGTAAACAAAGTTATTCTATCAGTTTGTTTCTACGGCGTGATGCAAGCTAACTCTAGGAACACTGAAAAATATCTCAAGCCACGCTTTCGGACGACGAGCTTATCTGGCCTTCGTCGTCGACCGCAGACGCATGCCCGCTCCCAGCTCAAACGGCGCTGCGTTACAGGGTTGCTATAAACCGCTTTCTTTCAGCGGCTCCCCTGCTATGTGAAGACTATACACGCACGCATGTGGCCTTGCATTGTGATCGCTGGGGCATCTGTAAAATATCTTGAATCGCGTCTTTCACGTGCAATAAAGCGAACGCTAACGTAACCTATCGCGCCGTCCTTGGATGTCTTCCCGATTATTTCCGATACCCGCTCGTCATTTCCGACAAGGAGGAGTGGTGTCAAAAAAAGAACCGTGGAACCTTCTTGTCCGGTTTTTCTTGCGCACCTAGAGCAATTCCTGTCCTACAGCTTCCGATCCCGCGCAGACCCTCGCGCGCCGGGCAGACGGACGCATCGGGAGGCGCGTACCCCTGTCCCCCCCCCACGCCCGCGCGCCCC